ACTCCTTGGAGAGAACAATTATGGGAGAAAGAAGGGCTGCTTATGCACAGGGAGATACTCAGGGTGCAGAAGAGTATGAAGGGATGGACACTGGGAGGAGGTAACTATGGGGAGGAAGTGGAAGGGAAGCTGTTGCATTATGGTAAACTGTGGTCAATGTCATGAGACAATATATATGTTAACCGCCGTATGGAAAGTGAATTTGCTCTGTAAACCTTCACCCAAATCACAAAAAAAAAAAAAAAAAACTAAACTAAAAGGGACCTACATAAGTGGAAAAACACTCCACACTCATGTATAGGAAGACTTAACATTGTGAAAATGTCAATAACACCCAAAACAATCCACAAATATAATGCAATCCTGACCTAAATTCCTACACCACTTTTTAATAAGATGGAAAAACATTTCCATCTATATATGGAAAGGAAATGGTTTCTGAACAGCCAAAGCAATATTGAAAAATAAGAGCAAAGTAGGAGGCCTCACACTTTGCAATCACAAAACTTACTATATGTTGTTGTTTTTGTTATGTGCTGTCAAGTTGGATCCAACTATAGCGACCCCTCCTTGGGTTTCCGAGGCCGTATCACTACGGAAGTAGATTGCCCAACCTTCCTTCCAAGCCACAATAATCAAAATAATCTGGCACTGGTTTCATGACAGACACACAGACCAACAGAATAAAATCAAGAACCTAGACATAAATCCATCCATCTATGGGTGGCTGATGGTCAAGAAAGGGTCAAAATCCATTCAGTGGGGTGGGAGGACAGTCTCTTTAGCAAATGGTACTGGCAAAACTGGATATACACTTGCATAAAAATTAAATACCTCACACCATCCACAAAAACTAACGCAAACTGTACCAAAGACTTAAAACTAAAACTATAAAGTTCCTGGAAGATAACAAAAGGACAAAAAGGGGGCACCTAATTTTTGGCATAAATAGTCTATCAAATACAACTACAAATGCACAAATAGAAGGTAAATAGATAACTGAGAATTTCCAAAAATTAAATACTTGGAATCATCAAGGAGCTCTGGTGGTGCTGTGGTTAAAACACTGAATTGCTAATCAAAAGGTTGGGAGCTTGAACCCAACAGCCACTCCATGGGAGAATGATGAAGCAGTCTGCTTCTATAAAGATTTACAGCTTTGGAAACCCTATAAGGATCGCTATGAGTCAGAATCAACTTTATGGCCGTGGGTTTGGTTTGGTGTGCTCATCAAAATATCAAAAGAATAAAAAGAGAATCTACAGACTGGGAAAAGATCTTTGGCAATGCCATATCTGATAAAAGTCTAATCTCTAAAATATGTAAAAAACTTCAGCAACTCAAGGACAAAAAGGAGAAAGGATATCAACAAACACTTCACCAAAGAGGACATTCAGGTGGTTAACAAACACATGAAAAGATATTCACAATCATTAGCCATCAGAGAGATGCAAATCAAAACTACAATGAGATACCCGCTAACCCCTGCAAAAACAGCAATGATCAAAAAAACAGAAAACAACAAATGCTGGCAAGGTTTTTGAAAGATTGTAACTCTTATACTTTGCTAGTGGTACTCTAAAATGGTACAACCACTACTGAAAACAGTATGGCACCTTCTCAAAAAGGTACAAATAGAAATAAATTTTAATCCAGTAATCCCACTCCTAAATCTATACCCTAGAGATAATAAGAGCAGTGATATGAATAGGCACATGCACTCCTTTGTTTATTGCAGCTTTATTTATAATAGCAACAAGATGAAACAACCTAAATGCCTATTAATGCATAAATGGATAAACAAATTGTGGTATATATATAATGGAACACTATGCAACTATAAAGAATAATGAGGAGGCTGAAAAATACAACATGGATGAATCTGGAGGACATTATGCTGAGTGAAAAAAGTCAATCACCACAGCACAAATATTGTATCTTCTCATTTTTATAAAAAAATCAAGAATAGGTATACATACAGAAAGTAACATTTTTCGATGGTTACCAGGAATGGAAGAGGTATGAGGGAAAATCATTTTCTAGATAGTAGACACTTTATTTCTGGTGACAGGAAAAGTAATACCCAATATTGAGAAAGTCTGAAAAACCTGACCAAGGTACATGAAGACACTAAGAACTACACAAGAATAAAGGACAATTTCAGGAAACACTATAGCATATACAATTTTTGCAACAACTGTAATAACAATAAAAAATATATGATGCGTGGTTACATAGGTAGCTATGTATGTGTATATGCATACAGAAAGGCATGTGAGTACATGCACACGCATGTACAAGTATATATCTATATACAAGGCATATCTATATACCTGTTTATGTGTGCTGTACATATATTTATATATGTATAATACAGCCATATGGAGTACAGTTATGAAGACTTTCTAGACATATCCAAACACTTTGTGGGACTGGTCAACTAGGTTGAAAGGCTTGGGACCATAGTCTCATGAGACATGTCAGTCAATTGTATAACATAGTTCATAATGATGATATTTTACATCCTACTTTGGTGAGTAGCATCTGGGGTCTTGAAAGCTTTTGAGCAGCCATTTAAGATAAAACTATTGCTCTCTATTTATCTGGAGTGAAACAGAATGGAGGAAACCAAAGACTCATAGAAGAAACTAGTCCATAGGACTAATAGCCCACACAAATGATAGTCTCTTCTAGCCTGAGACCAGAACTAGATGGTGCCTGTCTACCACTATCTACCATTCTGACCAGGGACACCAACAGAAGGTCCCAGATAGAATGGGGAAAAAAAATGTAGAACAAAATTCAAATTCCTTAAATAGGCCAGACTTTACAAGATCTATAGAGACTAGAGGAACCCGTAAGACTATCACCCTAAGATAACTTTTGTACTTGGAACTGAAGCCACTCCAGGAAGTCATCTTTCAGCCAAATAATACACTGGCTTATAAAATCAACAATATCATCCATGAATAATGTGTTCCCTTACACAATTAACTGTATGAGAACAACTGGTCAACATTTACTCAAAAGTGAAGATGAGAAGGCAAGGAGAGTCAGGGAAGGTAGATCAACAGGAATAGAATGCTAACATGTGAAAATTGCAACCAATCTGACAGAACAGTGTGTATAAATATTGTTAAATAGGAACCTGACTGGCAATGTAAACAGTCACCAAAAATACAACAAAATATTTTTAAATAATATGGAGTTAAGATTAAGGATAGTTTATCCTTAATCTCAGTAGTTCAGAGAGTAGTTCTCAGTAGTTCATCATGCTTAAATACACACAGTCACATCTTCAACTTTAGGACGCATTCACACTCACAAGTTTAGGAGAACGTATCTAACCTAAACTCAAATCTAAGGATGCTAAATCTTCTTACATGCATGAACTCATTTCTCCAGTGAACAACTTCTAGTATCTAGCCCATGCTGAGCTTAATCAAATAAACTCCAAATAAACTAAACTCTCATTTGTTCTGAAGCATGACATGAAGGCAAACTATAAAACATATGTATTTGCCAAACAGGCAAGGAGGCCACATCTTCTGTCCTCCTCTAACTGCACTAGAGGAAGACAGAATCCCCATCAATAGCCCAAGGCCTATTCCTGTGAGGCCAGACATGCTGCCTCTCTCCAGCCCTTCCATCAACCCTGACACTAACCGTTCCTCCCGCAGCACCCACCACCCTTTCTGCTGGGTTCAATAATTCGCTGCAGTGGTCACACAGAACTCACAGATTATGGGGTCTATTAGGGAAGCACCAAGCTACAATTCAAGTTCAGGAACAATGTTCAGCCTCTCTCAGCCTGCCATCTATCAGCCAACAGTCTCTCTCAGTCTCTCTCCCAGCAGCGTGTGTCTCTGTGTCTCTTTCTCAGCAGTGCATGTCTCTTGGCATCTCTTTCTCAGCAGTGTGTCTCTTTCTCAACAGCACGTGTCTCTCAGGAGTGTGTTTCTCTCAGCAAAACATCTTCCTCAGCCAGCAGTCAGAGAGACTTCTTCTGCCTCTAGGAGGCCTCCTTTGGAGCCTGGCAGAGTGGCCAAACTAACCAATCATAACATCAGAATTCTAAGCACCTGAGAGAGAGAGTGAACTTCCCAGAACACTGCTTTGTGCCACTCTCAACAGAAATACCCCAGGTGGGTAACTTTAACAATCAGGAGCTCTTTAGTTGCTCATGGCAAATTCCACCACAGAGTTTACAAAGACTGATGGCTAGAAAAGCCATACCAGGTAATTTACTACACAGCAATACTACGTATGAAAACCAAACTCACTGTCATTGAGTCAGATCTGACTCATAGCGACCCCTCTTTGGGTTTCTGAGGTGGTATCACTATGGAAGTAGATTACCCATACTTCCGTCTGAGGAGTGGCTGGTGGGTTTGAACCACCAGCCTTCTGGTTAGAAGTCAAATGCTTTATGCATATTATTGTAATTAATTTAAAATAATTTTTAAGATCCTTTTTTTTTGGATTTAGTAAAATGATGCTGAAATTTATCTGGAAAAAAAGGTTGAAATCATTGCTATGAATAGTGTGGAAAAGAAAAGTAACGATGAAGAATCAGCTCTGTTGTTGTTAGCTGCTGTCAAGTTAATTCTGACTCAAGGCAATCCTCTACCAACTATTAAAACATACCACAAAACTACACTAATTAGTAATTTTGGCTGAGTTCAAAAAGAGATCTAATACTTATGAAAACATAACTTATCATAATGTTGTTGTGTTTAACCAATGCAAGAAAGATAGTTCAATAATGGTGATGGATAAGCTACTACTGTGAGAAAAATTAAAACTAGATCCTTTTCTTTGTGTGTGTGTGTGTTTAAATTTTTATAGTGATTTGGGTGAAAGTTTATAGAGCAAATTCATTTTCCATACAGCAGTTCATACACATTTTGTCTCATGACACTTACTGCAATTCCCCACAATGTAACAGCTCTCTTCCTACTTCTTCCCTATAGTTACCTCTTCCCTGTTTCCTTCCCTCCTATGCACTCCCACCTCCTGAGCTATCTCTCTGTGCAAACACTGTCCTTCTGTTCTCCCATGATTGATTGTTCCAAGGAGTGTATCTAACTAAACTAACTCACTGCTGTTGAATTGATTTTGACTCATAGTGACCCCTCCTTGGGTTTCCAAGGGGGTATTACTACAGAAGTAGATTGCCCAATCTTCCTTCCAAGAAGTGGCTGATGGGTTTGAACCACCAGCCTTCTGGTTAGTAGTCAAATGCCTTAGGCACTACACCAGCAGCGGTTCCAAGGAGTATATCTACCTGATGTAAATGTTCAGCCCATATACCTATCATTTGGCTGGAAGCCACAGGAGTGAGTTCAATTCCAGACCTGAAGGGTAGCTAGGGGCCACAGCTTCAGGGGTCTCACTAGGCTCTATCAGATCAGCAAACCTGGTCATTTTTTATGATTTTGAGTTTTGTTCCACATTGTTCTCCTACTCTATCCAGGATCTCCTGCACCAATCCCCCTCCAAGTGGTTTATAGTGGTAGCCAGGCACCCTCTAGTTCTTCTGGTCTCATGGTCATATATGCTGAGGTAGATCATTTACTTTTTATATCAAAATTAATTTTATAGATGTCTAAAATTTAAATTTAAAAAGGGAAACCACAGAAATTTTCAAAAGAGGCATTTGTTCTTGTTATGTGCCATCAAGTCAGACCCAATTCATAACGACCCCTCCTTGGGTTGCCGAGGCAGTATCACTACAGAAGTAGATTGGCTCACCTTCCTTCTGAGGAGTGGCTGGTGGGTTTGAACCGCCAGCCTCCTGGTTAGCAGTCAAATGCCTTAGGCACTATGCTACCAGAGCTCCCACAAAAGAGGCATAGGAAAATTTATTTATTAACTTGGAGTAAGAAAGTTCCAGAAA